ATCTCCACTGTATCTCATCCATCACAACAACGGCCACGCGCAAAGTAACAACAGCTGCTGAGGCTGATCACTGTGTTGAACGCACCGAAACCGAAGCCTTCTTCTGGAAGCCAAACGTCTGGGAGATCAAGCGTGTTACCACTACCGAACTATCGCTGCTCGTCACGAAGGCTCTTGACCTGGACGACAAGAAGACGCCAAAATAACGAAGGCTGACGCTCGCTCTCCTGCCTTACCAAAATCGAGTGGTCGAGTCGGCCCACCACAATCACTATCCTGATCGAAGGTCAACTCTGGTCGAGATGGACGCAAGGTTCGCTGCCCACGCTTCAACCCTCAGTTGAACCAAGTCCACTCGCGTTCTTGGTGCCAGGCACAGCTTCCTCCTCACTCTGTGTCTCGCCAGATTCTTACGATCACCAACTTTTCCCAACCCGCCTTCTTTCCGCTCGATCCTACCGTCTCCGCCATCCAGCCCGGACCCCAATCTCTTATCCGCTGTTTGACAGCTTCCGGCTTGTTCTGCGCGCACAACAGCACATATGCGACACCTCGATCTGAGCTCAATAGTTCCGGCAGCTGCTCCAACATTCTATCGGTTACCACCATGCCATCCTCGCCTCCGGCGTACGACAACTCTAGAAGATACGAGTCCTGTTCGAATGACGTCGCTGTCTTTCCTTCCGGCACAGTGTTGTACTTGTCGTGGCTCGTCAGATCGGGCAACTCAGCTGGCACATATGGTGGATTGAATATGAAGACATCGACAGAGTGCGGTCGGATAGCACTTGCTAAGTCGCCGTTCACGACATCGATGAAGACCGAGCGTCCATTCTCCCGCTCTGTGATGGCATCGCGGACTGTTTGAGAAGCAGCTTTGCAGGCGAAGCTGTTTATATCAACCCCGAGTGTCAGCACATCGTGGCGACTGAATATTGTGCGTGCATTCGCAGCGACGAAGGCTAACACGACGCCTGATCCTACGCCCACTTCAAGCACCAACGGTGGGGTTGTTGAAGCATCGCCGAATCGTTCTTTCAGGTATGCGGTTTCCGACGCAGAAGAGAGCGTATCGAGTAACAGATATGAGTCTTCGGCTGGTTCGTACACGCGATCAAAACAGACGTGGGCTGTTGATGGTGTTGGCAGCATGGTTGCGATTTTGTTCGAGATCGGAGGTGTCGGTGTGGGCCAATTGGAGTGGAAGGAGCACCCTAGTCTAGAGTAGAGCCGAGGCTGAGGTCATCACTTCCTGAATGCATCACAGTTCCTCTGTCGCAATATTTTGAAGCTTCATCCGATTTTTTGCCAGTATGAGAGCTTACACGCGATTACTAGCTACAGCAACAGATGCAGGCGCATCTAGGCCCTTTAGGCCAGCACCTGCTGCATTGTTGCCGCCAATACCGCTTTACCGTCGCCTGCTACGCTCACATAGGAAAAGGTTGGGCGTGGAAGAGCGACTACTTGGTGACATGTACGTCAAGGCCGAGTTCAGAGCGCACAGGGACATCGACAACCCTGTACAAATAGTGAGTTGCGATCAATCCAGGGTAGTGGCTTTGCAACGTCACAGTTTCTGACATGAACAGATCGGATTTTTATCGGAATGGCAAACATATTGTCAAATGCTTGAAGGAGATTCATGGAAGGAAGACAAGATGGACAAAGCGAAGATTGACAAGATGAGCGGTAGGTTTACCAACATGTGTAAACGTTGCCTACTGACTGGATCATAGATCAACAAATTGGTCAGCTGTACGAGCTCATGCAACAAATCAAGAACCAGGCTCAGGAGGACGCCGATGCCGAAGAAAAGCGTGTGGTTGACTTGCTTGACAAGAAGGATCCCAAAGAATAGTGATCGCGCCACGCGTGAATCACAACCTGGAATCCAACAACGATCAAGGGGCAAACGTGGCAGACTTCACTCCCAACGATGAATGCGTAAACACGAAAAGCCTCCATACTTCACATCGCACTCCAGGATGTACTATATATATCAGCAATATCAGATCAGTCTCCAGTATCCTCTACGCCCACGTCTGTCGCTCCATGATTGCACTCCATCACAGACTCTTTGCTTCACGATTTGAAGCCCTCTTCAGCCCATCGCAACTACCAACACCCCTTCTTGGCCTACTCGTATCCTGCTGAGAGTGGTGGACTATCGACACTCGACCTGTGTCGTCTGACTACCCGAGACCTACACCTTGTGCAACTTCTCCATCAGTCCGACATGTGCGGCTGCACTCTATACGACTCGCCAACATGCGGTCATTCTTGGATCTCCATGAGCCAACCTTGCGGCTTTCTTTCTGATCTCCTCAATTGCCCCAACCGCCAAACCTATCAGACACTAATTGCACCGCCACACACCTGTCCTATTTGTAACGGCGGATTTGCAGATCGAGAGACGATTGAAATGGTTCAAGGACCTTGGGGTTGTAACCAGATGCTTCGAAACCACGTTGGTGGCAACTACGCGATCCCGGGTCAGTGGGGCAGCGCGCCGTTCATGTCTGGTGGGTGGGGAGGCCCAGCGATCACTTCTGGACCCATGTCTGGTGCTATGATTCCCATGAATCAGGGCTTTACCTATGACCACCGCCTCACTGGCCCTTATGGCCCTCAAAGCATGATGTCGCATGCTCCGATGATCACGAACGGACCGATGATGGGCGGCTCAGGGATGGTTATGCATGAACCAATGATGTACGACAACGGATTTGGTGCCTACGACGATGGCTATGCCAGCGACTGCAATGGATACTACGGTGGCAGGCGAAAGAGAAGGAGGCATAAGAGCCATTACAAGTACAAGTATACAGACAAGCCCGCGACCAATTGTACGGTTATGTAGATTGTTGGGTTGTTAAAGTGTATGACATAATGCGGTGGGGCTCTGTGTATATAGGGTATTGCAGCTGTTTCATTACCTGGGCATGCATAACGTGGTAGCGGAATTGAAGCACGTTTCTTAGATAGTTCGCTGGATAGCGAGGTGAAGAGGCGATAGTGAAGCAACCGCTGCCCTGGTAGCGAATCAGCGGCTCGGTAAATTTTAGGGCAAGAAGACCCTGCGTCAAGAAACGCCTAGCCAACGGCCAAAGGGGCCCAAGAGTGAGGCGGCGAGACTATCTCTCAAGTTGACTCAAGTCGGTCTAAACTACATATCTAAGCTGAGTGTCGATCGCGTAAAGACATTCAATCTGTTACAAGAAGGCGTGATCAGCCCCTTTGCCCTTGCTTTGCTCGAAGCGCTACCAGTCCGTCGGCTACGTCATTCGTCACGGGGTCCGGGCTCCTTGTTACCAGACTTCCTAAAACATTACTGTACTTCTCCTGAGCCATCCACCACTCACAGCACATAGCAAGAACCAATCCAGACCACACATCTACAATGGCAACCAACGCGCCCACCTTGATCAACCTGCCGCCTCCGCCGTCTGGCGACGAGACGCCTGGTGATGCTCCGTAAGGCACATGCGCTTGGTGGGGTTCATTGAAATAGTCGGACTGACGCTGTATACACAGAGGTACCCCGAACTCGGTCACCACGACCATGTCTGAGCTCTCGACTGTCGCCATCAAAGACGGACATCGCGGCCACTTCCCCCACCACCGGAACCCTGCTGAAGCTGAGCGTGCCGACCGCATCTCGCGCCTGGCCGGTCTGGAGCGCGTTGCAGTCTCGGGCCGCACTCCCCAAGGACTCAACCCAGGCAGCGCAGCCAATCCTCCGCCAGGCTACTTTGACGCAAACAACCAGCCGCAGCTCTTCCGTGAGCGCAGCACGGTTGGCAGTGCCAGCGCAACCGGATCCGTTGGCGGTCGCACGACGTGGGCAAGTGGCAGCGATGTCTACGAGCCGGACCGCATGAGCGAGGACCAGGACATGGACACATCAAGCATCGGAGGCTTCAGTGACGAAGCCGCCTCTCTTGTTGGCTTCGGCGAGGGTGCGCGCACACCAGCTCGGCAGCATAGTCAACTCGGCAGCCCTGCTGTTGGAAAGGCAAGCGCTCTGCCGGGCTACTTGCGAGAACAGACGCCGACCAGTCCAATGTCCGGCGTCAGCGTGCCTGTCAGTTCTGGTTCGACGCAGACCATGTCCAGCACGGAGCAACAGAAGAAGGAAGCACGCATGATGAACGGCATGACCTACGATGACAACGTCGTCGACACAGCGAGCCATGCGCCCCCCGCCAGTGGTCGTGATGGAGACTCTACGTCTGGAGACGCCATTCGCGAGCGCATGGCGCAGCGTCAAGCTGACAAAGATGCTGGCATGGACTATGAGCAGCAGAAGGACGCTTAGGGAAATGTTTCTTGTTTCACTCGAGTCATGCTTTGAGGCGGGCGTTGGGCAAAACCTGATAAATCACGGAAGGCTATTCCTTGACAATTGTTCAGGATGTTAGTATGGGCGGAAATCAACCAGCCCGAGGGCTGCGAACAAGAGTTTTTTTTTTTATGAATGCAATGCAATTATGATTGACCACCGCTTAGAGCCTTGGACCCCTTGCGCGATTGGCGTGCTTCCCCGGTTTCTCTATACTTCAGTATGACGTCGCGCACGCGATTGAATGGCTTGGAGCGCCCGTCCGCCGCCGTCACTCGCGGACGCGTCTGTAACCCCGCAAGGCTGTGTCAGTCGATGCGCAATCTTGGGCGACACGGTTGATAGTAATGGTATGCAGCGAATCACACCCCGCATTTTGGCTGCAGCTTGCGGCCCAAGTGCCCTGGCCAGGCAGGAGACGATCTTCTGGGCTCTGCAGCTGCAGGCAAGCCCTCCCCACCTCATTGCACTTCACATGCCGCAAACACCACTCAGCCCAACTTGAAGCTGCAAGACGCGCGACTGCTCATCTTCTTGCGACAGGACCATTCAGAGCATCTAGCCATCACGCGCATACAAGTACCTCCGCACCCGCGCGTTCCGACAAACACTTTGTGTGGAGCCCCGCATACCCCAAAACATAGCCGCCGTCACCATGGCAGACCACGACACCACGGAGGCTATTGACGTCAAGGACACGTCCCTTAACAGCTCCGTATCTTCCATCGGCCGCACACCTCCGACTGCGCTCAAACTAGGCTCCAGCCCCAGCCCGGCATCGTCCCACCGTTCGAGCTTCGCGGAGCACATGCGAGGAACGCCCACATCACCACGCGCGTCACGGCAGCCTTCACTGACACAGCAAGCGCTACAGGACCTCCTCAACAACCCACCAACCAAGGGTGGTGATCCAAAGTTCCAGGGACGCGATTGGAAGACTGTCAGACTGGGAGAGATTGTCGATCCTGACCTGGTGAGGTTCGTCGAGTACGATACCAGCGTTGAGGATGCGACGAGCGTGGGTTATATACAGCTATCTTCATGCGCATGGGCTGATTTGCATAGATACTAGTCAAACATGGCGCCCCTAATGTCGTCCTCCTGCGCGAAGACGCCAACACACGGCATGCGACCGGGACCTTCGATTACAGCGACCTGAACGCGTACCTCCTCCTCGTAGTCGGCCTCGCGCACCCCGAAGAAGGCGACATCGCCTCGTTCGACGAGCTTGCGCAGAAAGGAAGAGAAGGAAAACCCATACCGCTCAAAGACGTAAAAGAGGTTGGTGGCAGGAAGGAGCCGTTGATTACTCTCGACGAGACAACGGATCTGTCCAAGGCCATAGAAGTCTTCGGAAGCGGCGTACATAGAGTGTTGGTCGCAGAAGAAGGCACATCGAACGTCAAGGGCATACTTACCCAGCTAAGACTGGTGCAATTCTTCTGGGAGAACCGATCGAGCTTCCCAGGCGTAAACCAGCTGTACCCACAGCTGATCAAAGACCTGAATCTTGGATCCAAGACCGTTCTAGCCATCAAGTGAGTATAGCGCGGGTTCGCAGAAATCACACAGCTGACTGGATGTTAGTGGAGATAAGCCTCTTGCAGCGGCTCTGGAGCTCATGAACAACGAAGGCGTGTCGTCACTCCCAGTCTTGGACGCGCAAAACAACGTTATCGGCAACATATCCCATGTGGATGTTCGGGTAAGTCTCCTCTGGTCAGTTTCATATTACGCGACTAACGGCTGGCTCATAGCTCTTGACCAAATCCACATCGCTCCCACTGCTTCGCTCATCCTGTATTCACTTCATATCTGTCATCTTGTCCGAACGGGGAGTGAATGACGGCAAGGACTCCTTCCCCGTGTTCCACGTCAACCCATTCAGTACCCTCGCACACACTGTGGCCAAGCTAGTCGCAACCCGCTCGCATCGCATGTGGGTCGTGGATGCGCCGTCTCCGGCCTCATCAGGGCCATCGACTCCAGCGATAACACCTGCGATTGTTGTTCCTCCTTCGCCAATCACACCACTACCAGGGATGGCAGGCCCAACACCCGTCAATTCCACTGCGCCGACCCACCTCGCTAGTACCGGAGCGGTTGCCCCAGCTATCTCTGCATCAGCAATCTCTGCTATGCCAGGGGCTAGCTTATCTGGCAGACTAAGTGGTGTCATCAGTCTCACGGATATCCTGAATCTGTTCGCAAGAGCAAGCGGGCTGAATCCCCATGATCCCGACGAGGCGAGACGTGCTAGGCGCAGGTCTAGCTCCAGTAGCATGAGGCAGAGCATGGATAGTTCAAGGAGCGAAAGTGTGTCGGCTATCGCTGGGAGAAGGAGCAGCGTGAGTGAGAGGGAAAAGAATGCTCCCGCAGCTCAGGGACTGGGCATCTCCAGAGGACGAGGTGCGTGATGTTTTGTTGGAGAAAGAATTACGCTCTGGAGAACATCACTACCGAGGTATTTCGGACATAACTATTGGCTCTGTGATATTGATGGGCGTTACCAGCGAGTTGTCATTTCAGGTGGTCATAGAGTCAATATCGCCAGCCTTTCTTATGGCACACATTTCCCTCAATCGGGACCCTCATAGGCTTATAGAAGTCGCATGCTTGCGCGTGCGAGAAACGAAATAAAAACAGTGTATCAAGGCAACTCAGCATGTCCAATTGTGTTATCCAACTTTCCTGAATAAGAGACCGTCGTGTATGGCGGACGGGGGTAGAGGCCATTTAAGGGTTATGGTATCGACATCAGGCGAAGACTTGGTAGCGTCGGGTTTTGACTCTCCCTGAATACATTCAGGCGCTGGTGTTTCGTCATCCTTCTTCTTCGAAGTGCCCTTGTCGTTTTCGGCTCGATTCTATTCCACGGTGTTTAGAATGTTTCCACGAGGTATAAAGTCATTTTGAATCACACATACAAGGAAGTCGACCTGATCCCTCATTCGAATTGCTTTCTCGCAGCGTCTGTGTATGTTTCTGTAGGGAGGTTGTATGACCATGGTTTGCTATGTTGTGCTATCGTTCCCGTGGAAATTAGATATAGATACAGTTGCGAGGAAGTAAGAAGACTATTGGTATTTGAAAGGAAATATGATACCAGGTCTTGTATTCGTGCATACTGATTGCCAATCTGGTGAAGTACATGGTGTTTGTGCTGTCGTGCTGCTGTCGGCTGTGCTCGTGCTGCTGGCTGGTGGACGTTTGGTATATGAAGGGGTTGAGAAACACGAATGACCTGTATCAGGAGAAGGTCTTGTCACTGCAGAATATAATCATGATGAGGGCATCTTCACATTGTCACATTGTTCTGGCATCGTGGATGGCGTTGTGTGAAGCGTGTTGGTCACTATTTTGGACGTGTGATGTTGAAGCAAGAGAGCGATCATATATTGACATAGGGATGTTCTCTCCATGCATTTGGAAGACCAACTCACGTAGTGGTGGAATATGATGTGAAGCAATGCGGCGTTGCCCGAGATGCCCGAGATGCACGCAAAGATGCTATCGCCCATTGGGGAAGGTGCTGCCAAGGCTCGCTTCTCTCACAGGTCGACCAATATTGCTCCCCACCGAGAATCCGTTTCTCACGAACTTTCGAACCGACAAAATTAACGGCAGTCTCTCTTTACAACCAGAACCGATTGACTACCTCAAGCACTAGCCATGCGTGAGTATCATCCTTCTGGTCGGCTCTTACGAAGATGCGCGAAGTTTCTGAGTGGCTAGGACACCCAATGGAGGGTGTTTCTTGACACTCAGAGAATTCAATCATCTTCAACAGCCAGGCTTTCCTAGAAATCGCCATGCGCTTACATCCTCAAAGCTCCCAAGTTCGATCCCTCCGAGGTGAAGGTCATTCACCTCCGTGCGACCGGTGGTGAAGTCGGTGCCTCATCCGCGCTCGCCCCCAAGATCGGTCCCCTCGGTCTCTCGCCTAAGAGTACGCCACGAACCCATTGACCAGCGCACATGGATGGAAATACTAATTCGTTCTGCAGAGGTCGGTGAAGATATCGCCAAGGCCACTGGTGACTGGAAGGGTCTCCGTGTCACCGTCAAGTTGACCATCCAAAACCGTCAAGCCGCCGTTTCCGTCGTTCCCTCCGCTTCCTCCCTCGTCATCAAGGCCCTCAAGGAGCCTCCCCGGGACCGCAAGAAGGAGAAGAACATCAAGCACACCAAGAGCGTTCCCCTTGATGAGATCATCAGCATTGCCCGCACCATGCGCTTCAAGTCCATGGCCAAGTCTCTGCAGGGTACCGTTCTTGAGATTCTCGGAACTGCCTTCAGCACTGGCTGCAAGGTTGACGGCCGTAGCCCCAAGGATGTCTCTGACGACATCAAGGCTGGCGAGATTGAGAGTATGTTATACTTGGCAATTCGCGAAAATCAATCACTAACAGAGCGCAGTTCCTGAGGAGTAAGCGTTTGCACCAAGAAGTGTTCACGATCACGATGGAACGATATATGCCATAGAGGGTGCTACATAGCTGAATGAGGACAACGTCTCCCACCCAGAGTTACCCGTCCCGGGACCGGTGGAGTTTGCACAGCCGCGGCGTTTGGGATGTTTGATACCATACTATAAAAAGTGACCCTGGCATACGGCAATGATACAATGCATCTTGTCGAATCAAAACGGTCCCATGCGTGTTGTGATAATCCTTTGACAGATCTTACACATATGCCATGTTCCTCCCTTTCTGACAGATACCCGGTGTTAATTTCTACACCTAGAGGGACATAGCGCGCACTCTAGTATATAAAGCTGTCAATGCAAGGCCGTAATGTGTCGCAGCCTGGAAGTTCGGAGTTCCGCACTACACTTCCGCGATTCCGCGTCACCAGTCGCTTCCTGACACCTGAACAACCAACACAATCGCTCGAACATGTCGGTCGAACGTCAACGCCAACCGTACAATGCGTCGGCGACGATCAGATGAGCTGCCGCGCTTCGTAGACGAAGCTAAATCTCCCTCGTTCCGCCTGCGACGCCGCCACGCGTACTACTTCCTCGGCTTCTTCCTTCTCTGCTGGATCCTCTATCCATCGCGCAAGACGACACCTCATACTGGAGATACCATCAGGGTCAATTGGTCGAATTATGCGTACAGCGTGTACGCGACCGACAGCACCCAGCTATGCCACGCCGTGATGGTCCTGGACGCGCTCGCTCGATTCGGTAGCAAGGCAGACCGCGTCCTCTTCTACCCGGAGTTTTGGGACACAAAAGTAGACAGCGCTCAGGACCGAGACAGTCAACTACTCAACTTAGCGCGCGACGTATACAAGGCAAAGCTTCATCCTATCAGGCTGCTTGAGGTAGCAGGCCGTACAGAAGGTATGCGTTGCGCAAGTGCCCATTCGCCCGGCACATGAAGCGAGACTCTACAAGCACATGGCTGACTGTTCTCAGGTGACTGGGTATGGGACAAGACCGTCACGAAGCTCATGGCCTTTGGTCTGGAGTACTACGACCGCGTAGTCGCTTTGGAGTCACAGATCACGCTCCTCGACACTCTCGATGAACTCTTCCTCCTCCCTCAGACGCCGATAGCGATGGCACGGGCATACTGGACGGACAGCAAACCGTGGCCATTGTCGTCGACGCTAATGGTTGTCAAACCTAGCCTCGACGAGCTTGCGAAGTTCAAGAAGCGCATGGAAGGGGGTGGTGATAGCATGTTGGTCGAAATGCACAGATATGACATGGAGATTCTCAACGAGCGCTTTGAGGAGAGCGCGCTAGTACTTCCACATCGACCTTACGCCCTTCGTACGGCAGAGTTCAGGCGCCACAATCATTCCGAGTATCTAGGCAGCGCTGATGAGACATGGGACGCTGAGAAGGTCTACAAGGAGGGGAAAATCATCCAGTTCAGCGACCTGCCGCTGCCTCCCCCATCAGTCATGTGGTCAGAACAGGCGTTAGAGGAGATGCAGCCCGATTGTGGGGGCAGCCCCGAGGGAACCTGCGCTGAGAGACGGATATGGAAGGGCTTATATGAGGATTTCAGAAAGAGGCGGAAGGACGTTTGCAAGTTGCTCAGTGTGGCAGCACCGGACTGGACTAAGATCAAAAGCGAGCTTCATCACGAGGTTGTGACTGGGTCTGGTAGTGTTGCGCCGGTAGGTGAGGCTGCGGCTGCGGCTGCGTCTGCGTCTGGTTCTGGTTCTACTCCTGCTCCTGGTGCACCTTCACATGAGAAATAGCTAGCCATCAATATCCGCAAACCTATGTACCTGCATGTTGTCTTACATTTGGCTCTCGCTTACGGCCCGATTGTAGTCTTCGCCAGCCCATGCCGAGGAAACTCTGAAACTGGTGAGCAAACGGTGCACAGTTATGCAATGAGATGGCGGATAGGTATGGTAGCGTCATCTTGGAGGAGACGGTAGCAGTGCCGCCAGCCGTGGCTGTCGCATCAGGGCGCAAGCTGAAGCTTATTTGATTGCTGGAAATAAAAGCGTCATGATTGGTACACTGAAACAGCCCATGACTACAGGCTTAGACAAGTGACCACATTGTCTCCACGCACTAACAACGCAGATTGAGTGATAAGACATGTCGACAGCCGATTGCTGTGCCTCATGCATCAGCCCGCACAGGCTCGCAGCTCGGAAGGAAGAAGGACGGCGCCACGCGTTCGCGGATCCACCAAAACCTCCGAAGCGCCACCCTTCCAAGTCGTCGCTGCATTCCTCACGACTACCATGACCACCACTGCACTCGTATATGAGACGGTTGCACCAGACTTCCCACATGCACACTCAACCCGGAATGTCAAGCCAAATTTGTCGCAACAGAAAGAGCAGGTCATGGTAACACGAGGCAAGCATGTTGGGGTACCAGCCGTTTGTTTTAGCGCGGATTCCGAGAGCTCCATTCGCGGTCGGGTGGTGGGGAACCCACTTTTACTCTAGCCTCCTGCTCGGGGGCCGTCACGCCAACCCCAGCACTCGGTGCAGGTTGTCAGCGTGCAGGGTTACCATGGCTATATTCCAAGGCGTGGACACAGAACGTAGTATCGAACCTGGGGGCGCACACTTCGTATATGCTCCCAAGGATGAGCAAAGCAGGTGGGGTACGTTGCAACACGGCAGCAGCCACAAGAGAAATGCGGTACGGATGCGAGCGCGGGGGCGGCGCGGTCTGGTGAGAGCGGGAATGGGTTGCAGCAGAGGCTGTCGAGAGCTCGCATATGCAGCAAGGCTGAGCAACTAACTGGCCCTGATATATCAGCTAAGGGGCACTTCCCGGTTAGTGCACCGCCCAGTCGCTGATCTGTGAGCTTGGGATGCGAATAGCCTAACCAGGATGGCAAAGCTGAATTACTCAATGCGAAATTGATAGATATCCTCCTTCCCTCCCTCACGTTGTGCATTTACTTCGGAGTACACCGTCAACGCTGTTCGTCGTCACCACTCATGGTTGTTGGCCATTTATAACAACAACATAAGAACCCACTCACTTCCCGCAGTCGTTGCTCCCACTCTCATTACAAAGTAGCATCCTGACAGCTGAACAACCATGCGCGATTTCATCTTGGCCTCCGTGGTCGCAGCCTCAGCCTTGTTCGCCAGACAAGCTGAAGCTGTCGCCGCAAACCCTCTCCCGAAACCCACAAACATTACCTGGGGCGACTCTGGCTGCTTCTCTTTCGGATCTGTCGCTCTCGATGCGCCGGACCATGAGGTGCTCTCCGCTGCGTTCGACCGCGTTACTAAGACCATCGCGGAGCTGAAGTGGATTCCGCAAGCCACCGAAGCATCGGTCACATCGTTTCAGCCTTTTCCAACCCCAACCGCTGCCTCAAGAAAGCGCAAGAGGCAGTACAGTGCACCACCAGGAAATTGCACAGGCACTATCACCAAGGTCAAAATTGACGTCACCAATGCCCACGCTGAGCTTCAACATGGTGTTGATGAATCCTACACGCTCGATGTCGTAGCTGGCTCGGATACTGTCGATATCACCGCTGGAACTGTCTACGGCGCCCTCCACGCTCTCACAACGCTCCAGCAAATTGTGATCAACGATGGCTCAGGTAAGATGATCATCGAACAACCCGTCGCTGTCAAGGATGCGCCACTCTATCCGGTGCGCGGTATCATGATCGATACAGGCCGCAACTTCATTACCAAGGCCAAAATCTTTGAGCAAATCGACGGAATGGCTCTTTCGAAGCTCAATGTTCTGCACTGGCATCTCATCGACTCGCAGTCCTGGGCCGTGGAGATCAATGCGTATCCTGAGATGACCGAAGACGCCTATTCAGCCAATGAAGTCTTCACCCAAGATATGCTGAAGGAAGTCATCGCCTATGCATCCGCACGCGGCGTACGCATCATTCCGGAAATTGATATGCCAGGACACGCCAGCTCCGGCTGGGCGCAAATCGACGAGTCCCTACTTACATGCCAACACAGCTGGTGGTCAAACGACAACTACGCACTGCACACAGGCGTAGAGCCCAACCCAGGTCAACTTGATATTCTTAACAACAAGACCTACGAGGCTACAGCCAAAGTGTACAAGGAAATGACACAGGTCTTCCCAGACAACTGGTTCCACATTGGTGGTGACGAGCTCTTTGCAAACTGCAACAACTTCTCCACTGCAGCCCTCGCATTCTTCAACAGCGGCAAATCAATGGGCGACCTCTACCAAGTCTGGGTTGATCGCGCAATCCCCAACTTTCGTGCACAAGCCAACAAGACTTTCGTCATGTGGGAAGACGTCAAGCTTTCCGCTGACGTGGCCGCTACAGGTGTCGTACCCAAAGACGTCGTCCTACAAGCTTGGAACAACGGTCTCGACCACATCAGCAATCTTACCGGACAGGGCTACCGCGTCATTGTTTCCAGCTCCGATTTCATGTACCTGGACTGTGGATACGGAGGCTGGGTCGGCAACGACCAGAGGTACAATGTCATGGTCAACCCCAATGCGACAGACGGTTCAGCGAACTTCAACTGGGGCGGCGGCGGTGGCTCCTGGTGCGCACCATACAAGACATGGCAGCGCATCTACGACTATGACTTCACTCTCAACCTCACAGACACCCAAAAGGCGCTTGTACAAGGCGCCATCGCGCCTCTCTGGTCCGAGCAAGTCGACTCAGTCGTCATTTCTCAGAAGATGTGGCCGCGCGCTGCTGCGCTTGCCGAACTTGTCTGGAGTGGAAACAGGGATGACAATGGCAACAAGAGGACCACAGAACTGACGCAGCGTATTCTCAACTTCAGGGAGTATCTTGTTGCGACCGGTGTACAGGCTAGTCCGCTGATGCCCAAGTACTGTCTTCAGCATCCACATGAGTGTGACCTGAATCTCGATCAGACCGTATTGCACGAAAATCCCGCTGTCTGAGAGGTGGGGCGTCCTTCTTTTTAGCATCAGGATGGTGTTCAATTTTTCGTT